TGGCACCAATACCTCAGCAAATTTATAGATTGTCATCTGGCACTTTCCAGATGTGTCAGATGACTTTTTTTTAATTGAAACAGAAATCCATTTAACAGAAAACAGGTTTTCAGTGCTATGTTCTGAAGCACAAATCCACTTCTTTGAACCCCAGATTCCATTTAGATAGACTTCTGTTACAGTTTACAGTTAATGACAGAGATGAAAAAGTAACTTTACAACCAATTCTTGCATTCACAACCTTTGCAGAGATGTAAAGCAAAGAAAAGCTGAAGTAAGATCATAAGCACATTCATGGTTTCACTTAGAGGCTACTTTGCTTAACGACCAAGTTGCTGGTCCCAATTGTGGTCACTAAATGAGGATAACCTGTACCCTGTTCAGTATTGCTATTTGAAAGACCCACTCTATATTTTAAGCTCACTTGTGTTTACAAGTTCTACCCACATTAGGGTTAATCATTTATTTCTTCATGTTTATTTTATAAACGTTTTCTCTTTCCCCTTCTCACACACAAAATAGACATCCCAAAGTCCATTTAGTGTTCTGGTCTTTCTCTTCTCTTGCGTTCCTTCACTCCTCCAAGTCTCCTAACTCTTCCCATTGCCTTTCTCATGGGCCCAGCTTCCCTGGTCATTCCCAAAGCAGCCTACTTCCTACTCTTATTTACCTGGATCTCCATTAGTCAATATTCCTGCTTCTTCCTAAGGTCTCTTTTGCTGAGTCCAAACATGGGATTCCTCCCTTCTTTCTCAGAAACTTGAAGGTCCACTGAATACTATCCTAATTATTCTTACCTTTATTCATTACCTTTATTTCCTAAGGCTGCCGGATGCAGCAAAGCCAATCAGTGGTAGAGAACCAGTGACAAATATTTCAGCTTTAAATCTTTCCCTCTACCTGCGCATTAGTTTAATTAAATGAAGATTTGCCAGTTACAGATAAGATACAATGTAAAGCATTTGTAGTTATGATACCTCAGGAATCATATTTTCTATTAGAATTTTTGCATTGAGAATGTGAAATAGAGAAAGTGAAAAAAGCATTTTATTATGGAATATATTTCATCCTCAAACAAAGGCGAAGCTTAACAGTTGATTTTAATGTGGCATTAATTTAATAAAACAATTTATTCTAATAAATTGATTTTATGTGATGTTTTAATAAACAAACAGAAGTGAGTTTTGAGTATGTATAAAATATGCTTCTGAATAACAAGTAACAATTCATACACAATTAGTGCCAAATAGGAATGTAATTGACATGAGCTCATCTTTGGTGTATATTGTAATCTGAGCTGTTTGAAATAGCATTCAGAAAGGTCTGTGTTTTTCTTTGGAGGTGGGGTTGTCAGACTTTGAAACTTCCTGAATTAGTCCCTGCAGTTTTCTTAGCAAGTGTAGAAGATGAGCCTGAGGTAGGGTTCAAACACGTCTTCAGTCATGAGTCCCTTCACACCCACAAGAGATCTAAATATAGTCCACCTTGAATTCCTTATCTGTTACCGAATTGCTTTGCTTGTTAGTAGTTCAGATTCTTGTAGAGAGCTTACACTTTCAAAAAAAATTATATTCATTTGAACTGCCTGGATCTATTGATCTATTGATTTCCCTAGCTTTTGACAGCAAAGTTTTGAAAAAGCTTGCCACTGCCCTAGCACAATCTATGAGGTATCTCTAAGCACAATCTATGAGGTATCTTTCAGAACCAGCTCCCTGCCCAACTTATGATCATTAGCCATGGTCATACCTATTTTTAAAAGGGGAGACCCTAGTCTAGTAGTAAATTACAGACCAATCTCACTGTGTTGCGTCACCTGTAAAGTCATGGAATCAATTATAAATTGATTATAAATCCATCACCCTACATTTAGAAACAAACAACCTACTTTCTAGCAAGAAGTTTGGTTTCAGGAAAAAATTGTCTTGTAATCTGTAACTCCTACACTGCAGAAACATTTGGACCACACATCTAGACCACGGTAAAGCAATAGACGCAATTTACATAGACTTCTGCAAAGCCTTTAATTCAGTGGTGCACGACAAACTACTGCTGAAACTTAGTTCTTACGGCATCTCCAGACCCCTGCACATGGATAGCCACGTTCCTGTCAAACAGGCAACAAATGGTCAAAATAGGGAAGGCCCTATCAAATCCAGCAGCAGTTAATAGCAGTGTCCCCCAAGGCAGTGTCTTAGGACACACACTCTTTCTGCTTTACATCAATGACCTATGTAACAACATTAAAAGCAGCTGCGTCCTCTTCACCAATTATTTAACACCACCGACAATGCTGCTTCCCTACAAAGTGACCTTGATTATGTGTCAGAATGGTCAGCAATTGGCAACTCCAAATTTCAACTAACAAATGCTCTGTCCTCCTCATTGTCAAGAAAAAAATCACAACACCAAATACAAGTTAGGCGGAAATGATCTAGTAGATGACCCTCAGTTTGTCAGGGACCTAGGAGTATCTCAAATGATCAAAGCCTCAGAGCTCACTATAACAGCATTGCCAAAAAGGCTTTCAGTGAACATTATTTTGCAAAGCTTCTTCTCTGGCAGCATTGAATTATTAATTAGGGTGTACACAACCTTTGCCAGACCAATCCTTGAATAAAGCTCATCTGCCTGGAACCCACACTGTATATCGGACATTAACACAATTGAGTGGGTTCAGAGGTATTTCTCAAGAAAAGTTCTCCACTCCTCCACTCACAATAGAAATCCCCATGCCTCCGGCTTGAAATTTTGGTCCTAGACAATCTAGAACTGCACCACCTGCGGTCCAATATAAGCATAGTTCATAAAATTGTCTGCTATAACATCTTGCTTATCAATGACTTCTTCAACCTCAATCACAATAATACATGGGCAAACAATCGACACAAACTCAAGGTAAACCGCTTCAAACTCAATTGCAGAAAATATGTCTTCAGCAACAGAATGGTCAACGCCTGGAATGCCTTACCCGACTCCGTTTTTACAGCCTCAACCCCTCACAGCTTCAACCTCAAACTATCTACCGTGGACCTCACCCCATTCCTAAGAGGTCCTTAAAGGGCGCGTGCAAAAGCGCACCAGCGTGCCTACCGTCCCTGTCTTACTGTCCCCGTTTATCTGTATTTACTCCCTTGTTCTTGTTTATGTTCATACTTATACTTGTTATCTTGTACATGTTTGACAAACAAACAAATAAAAATAAATAAAATAAAAAGGTTGTTCAGAAGTGAACTGGCCCAAGGTTACCCAGCTGACTTTTGCCTAAGGCAGGAATAGACCTCAGAGTCTCCTGGTTTCTAGCCTGATACTTTCATCAGTACAACAAACTGGCCCTCTTTCAGAAAGTTACATAACCCTACTAAGATTGCTTTGAACTTTCTACAAAGGAAATAGATTCCTTTTCATCATATAATAGTAACAAACTTTCAACTCACAGCATGATAAAAATAAACTGCAAACATAAATTAGGAAAACAGAGAGGGTGAAAACAACTGAAGAATGTTAACACAACATCAAGATAAATATTGGCTAAATGTTTACTGAGACTATGGACTGAATTTAAGTCCAGGTGACATGGGTCTTTACTTCAGGTCAACCAAAATCCTGATTATTCAGTAAAGGCTAGGTTTTTTTTAGTATTATCACAACTGTGCAATCTGTCCTAACATTGTCATTTTGATTAGAGTAAGAGAAAATGCAGTTCCTTTTATTCCTGCATTCTTGGGTTTCCCAAACAATTTGTCAAATTAAAATGAGAAACAAGTCTGTTCAAAGTTTGGTAACAGGTTAGACTCAGAAAAATGATAAAGGGAAAAGAGATGGAGTCATTCTTTAACACTTAAGTAATCAGGCTTCACTATCTTTTGTTTCATCTAATTGGGATGTAATTGTAAATACTGAGCTACGCTCTGGGTTGCCTTAACAAGGATGGCAGGAACTTACTTTGCCTTTCATAGACAAACATGTGTATCATACACACACATATCATACACACTGATTATTTTTGCTGAATCTTCAAGGGAAAATCTTGTGACGTAGTTTCAGTTTGCCATGTTAATAAATGATAACATTTTAATCACTTTCTGATCTAGCATTTGTGGATGGATGGATGGATGGATAGAAGGAAGGAAGGAAGGAAGGAAGGAAGGAAGGAAGGAAGGAAGGAAGGAAGGAAGGAAGGAAGGAAGGAAGGAAGG